AAATAAATTAAATATCCCATGTACTATTGATAAAAAGTTAAAAAGTAACAACAACGTTATTTTAAAAGCCGATAAAGGAAATAGTATAGTTATCATTGAACATCAAAATTACGTTTCTAAAGTTGAAGAATTCCTAAATAATAATGAGTGTAAAGAAATACAAAGATTCCACCTTAAAAATAAAAACTCGAGTTCAAACAGCCATAAAAAATAGTGATTTTTTATTCCCAGATGACCAATATGCAGTTAAAAAACTAATACCAATGAACCCGAAACCCCCAATGTTAATACGGTACAGTGAAAATTCATAAGGAAAACAAACCTATAAGACCAGTAGTATCCTTTTATAATTCCCCATGCCATAAACTTGCAAGTACAATTGACAAAATAGTTAAAACCCACACCAAATTCAAACCTACATTCGGTATCAACAATTCTTTAGAACTGATAAAAGAATTAAATAACATCAATGTACCCAACAACTGTGGTTTAGTATCATTTGACGTTACTAATTTATTCACAAATATCCCCGTTGAAGAATGTACTAAACTCATCAAGCAAAAACTTACCGAGAATTCTATTAACGAATTTGTAAAAAATGATATAATAGACCTCTTAAATATATGCCTACTATCTAATTATTGTAAATTCAATAATAAATTTTACGAAATGAAAGGGTTACCAATGGGGTCTCCATTATCCCCACTTTGTGCTGAAATATTCGTTGATAATTTCGAAAAAATTCTTTTCAAATCAAAGAACAAATTAATTAAATCAGTTCATTTCTGGAACTTACTGTGAGTAGGAACTATCTTTTTAAAAAGGATTGAACACCACATTCACTCCATCATTTATCATTTCTAGCGTTCTTAAATGTGAGAATTTAGTATAGTAACTAGATATGATTCTTTTATAGTTTGTGTGTTTTTGTGTCCATCCCTAACTGTTAAACAAGAATTGTAAAAAAGAAGGAAGAATTAGGCAAAGGATATTTCACGTTTTGGATTTTATTTTGAAAATGAAGCAACCCACACTTAAAAAGTAGTTATAAAAGCAAAAAATATTAATGTCATTTACTCCATTACACCAGCGTAATGTAACTTAAAAAAATCAAATTATCCTCAGCTGACCTCATTTGCTGTGACTACGAATTTTCATATTTACATCTTTGCCATATTTGGATAGTTTTATTCTATTAACATTTTTGGTTTTTTAGAACGCCATATACCAGATTTTGTTTATTTTAAATAAAAATGGCGACGAATTGCGAAGTTTAACTTTAAAATGTGGTTAGTTTATATGTATTTTCTACTTACAAGTGTATACCAAATAAAACAGCTCAAAATATTATTGTGCTATAATTTTTTTGAATTTTTTAAAACTATAATAAATGAAATTCACTATCTACTTATCGAAGTTTTCTAAATACTATGCAAGAATTGTGAAAAAGACGAACGAATTAGGAAAAGGAACTTTTCATGTTTCAAGTTTTGTTTGGAAATTATCTTCAGTCGACCTTGTTTCTTGTGGCTTCGAATTTTCTAATTTCCTTCTTTCTTTATTTATATAGTTTTACTGTATTAATATTTTTGCTTTTTTTACAATACTACATTCTATATTTTGTTTATTTAAAAAAAATATATACGAAGAACAAGCCGAAACCGAGCCTTACAAGTGTGTTAATTAAGGTTTTTAGTTGGGATACAAAAGTCAATGGCACGAGCGGGCTTCGAACCCACGATCTTCGGAGGGAAAATTCAAAAGGTGCGGTTGAGATGGGAGGTTGGTGTCCGAGTGGATCGAGGTTACGATAGCTCAAGTGGTAGAGCAGCGGCGTATCAAGCCGAATATCGTGGGTTCGAATCTCGCTCGTGCCATTGAATTTTTTATCTCAACTGAAAACCTTAATTAATTGTGATTATCAATTATTATGAGATATCGTCTCGAGGTCTGAGAGTTGAACATGTAAGTTGATCGGCTTCATACATCCTGGCCCGTTTATTCTCGCTTGTTTAACTCTGTCCACTGAAGACAAAACCATCGAGAATTGACAGGCCAGGAAGTTTAAAGAAGATAAAGTTACATTTGCTAAGCACGTTTGGCAACACGCTTCTCAAGATAGATCATGACCATCTTTAGAAGAAGACGAAAAATACAGTTGAAACGTAACTATTTGAAAATAAGTGCGGATTTTGAAAATTTCTGTTACGAAATTTGACATTGGGATATCCCCAAGGCTGAAATATCAGAGTTTTATCTAAACAGAAGAATTTCATATTTGGAACTTTTCGAAAGGAAAATTTGTATTTGTTCCTCGAGTCATGTTTTATTTTCGATTAATACATAACCGAGAAAAATCTGCTTCTTAGCCAGCCTATGCAGATTTTCCTCCGGTATTTTTCATTTTCCAAAACGCCAAACTGTTATTTACTTCCATCTTGCCAACTGTTATAACATATAACGGACAGTCGATTTGAAAGGAAAAACAAAACAGAATGCGAAGATCGTTAGTAACGCGACAACAGATTTCTCGACTTTCGAACGCGAGGAAAAACCCAGCGTTATTCCCGAAAATTCGAAAATAAAACTTTTATTTCGCGCTGGTATATATGAGATTGCATCACTCAAAAAAAAAAAAAAAAAAAAAAAGGACACTACAAGAAAAGTATTATACTTTTTGTCTGGTTCCCAAGGACTTTCCGAGCCCGAACGACAAGGCTATGCTGAAAACGCCCGGATATACGCGCTCTATTCTTTCTAAAACATTATACACCGAACTTCGATCTTCGGTCGGTTCGACAAATTTAGAAATATTAATTTTTATCAGCACAATTAATCATAACATAGTAAACTAGACAAACACAAACGTAAATGGTCTAAATTAGCCCCTCCACCTTTTCTTCCTTTCCCATTAAATTCTGTTGTTTAAAAAGAAAGAAAGAAAGAAAGAAAGAAAGAAAGAAAGAAAGAAAGAAAGAAAGAGAGAGAGAGAAACGAGAGAGAGAGAGAGAGAGAGAGAGAGAGAGAGAGAGAGAGAGATAGAGAGAAAGTGAGTGAGTGAATGAATGAATGTGCGAGAGAAAACGAGAGAGAGAGAGAGAGAGAGAGAGAGAGAGAGAGAGAGAGAGATAAAAGAGTGTAATAGAGATAGCTAGAGTATAAGTGTATAAAATAATAAACAAAAGTAAAAAGAGAAAATTTAAGCTAAATGTGAAACAGTAATAACAACAAAATAAAAATTTACATTCATTTAACTGTAACATAACAACAAAGAAAAAATTATATAATTACAAAATTTACTAACAATTCACTAATTTCGTGGTCCGCTTGACCAATTAATATATTACAATTAATTAATTAAGGTTTTTAGTTGAGATAAAAAAGTCAATCTCAACTAAAAACCATAATTAATTTTACTAACAATGTTACAGATTACACACATATAAAATTAAATTTTCATCACCTCATTTAAAACTGTAATAAATATATTAAAATACAAATTCTGAAAAGAACTTTCAAGAAGAATACTCTGACAGATATAATAAATTCAATTATTAATAATTCTTTATTAGCAGTTTTACTTAAAATTTTTATTTCTTCTATATTGGAGGTTTTCTTTAAAAAGTAAAAAAACAGAGAGAGAGAGAGTGATGTATTGAAAAAAAATAGAGAGAGATGGATAGAAGAGAGAGGGGGAGGGAGGGAGAGAGAGAGAGAGAGAGAGAGAGAGAGAGAGAGAGAGTGAGAGAGAGAGAGAGAGAGAGGAGAGAGAGAAAAAGATAAAAAAGGGAGAGAGAGAGTCAAAATTTTTGATTGATCTCAAACCTGATGGTTTTGTATATATGTATTTAAAACTGTAATAAATATATAAAATACAAATTCTGAAAAGAACTTTCAAGAAGAATGCTTTACAGATATAATAAATTCAATTATTAATAATTCTTTATTAGCAATTTTACTTAAAGTTTTTTATGTCTTCTATATTGGGGGTTTTCTTTTAAAAACTAAAGAGAGAGAGAGTGAGAGAGAGAGAGAGAAAGAGAGAGAGAAGGAGAGAGAGAGAGAAAGAGAGGAGAGAGAGAAAAAGAGAAAAAAAGGGAGAGAGAGAGAGAATCAAAATTTTTGATTGATCTCAAACCTGATAGGTTTGTATATATGTATTTAAAACTGTAATAAATATATTAAGATACAAATTCTTAAAAGAACTTTCAAGAAGAATGCTTGACAGATATAATAAATTAAATTATTAATAATTCTTTATTAGTAGTTTTACTTAAAGTTTTTTATTTCTTCTATTTTGGGGGTTTTCTTTAAAAACTAAAAAAAGAGAGAGAGAGAGAGAAAGAGAGAGAGAGAGAGAGAGAGATGATTGGTTAAATTGGAGGAGTTGTGTACTTCAATTTGAAACCTAACATTTCTTTATATTGAAAAATTATAAGCTATAATATAGTTATAATATATATATTTATAATACTACATAATATTATATACTATCTATATATGTATATAATATACTATATATTATACTATATAGTATATATAGTTATGATATTATATAGTTAAATATTATTATAACTATAAAATAAAAATAATTATCCTGATCACTGATATTACAAGGGGGATTAGGCTATAATTCTTTTGACGGCTTATATAAAATTTAATAGATCGAGCTAAGCCAAAATTCTTTGCAACGGAAATGTGAAGGCTCAATAATTGCTTCAACTATTTGCTTCCTCATTTCATATTCCCCCTTTATAGGCCTAAACATTCAGTATTCCTCGAATGCACATGTAGTGTTTTTTTTTAAACACTTTTTTATAAAAGCATTACAGAACTTTGCATAAACATAGGCTTCCTCGTGAATGAAAGTAGGAGGACAGTCACTGACGTTAATTAAAGGATCCGTTTGTTTCGCGGCTCTTACACAAAATAAGTTTAATATTACACCAACCATGTGAATCAGAAGTGAAAGTAAATAAAGCCAAGTTAGAAAGACTTACTTTGATTTTGTATCATTTGGCTGTTCCACTGTTTCCGAACTTTTTGAGACCAGCTGCCCCCTTGAAACTTAGGTTTGGACGTATCCTGGAGTCTAAAATGTAAATAAGCATGATAATTCGTTGCATTATTGTCTTCATTAAAAGTAAAAATACACTAATATATATGAAACGTTTGTATTTTGACTGAGTAATATTTCAATTAATTACGGTTTTTTGTTGAGATAAAATAACGGCACGAGCGGGATTCGAACCCACGATCTTCGGCTTGATACGCCGCAAAAAGGAGGGAAAATTCAAAAGATGCGGTTGAGATGGGAAGTTGGTGTCCGAGTGGATCGAGGTCACGATAGCTCAAGTGGTCGAACAGCGGCGTATCAAGCCGAAGATCGTGGGTTCGAATCCCGCTCGTGCCATTGACTTTTTTACCTCAACAAAAATCCTTAATTAATTGTAATATATTAATTGGTCAAGCGGACCACGAAATTAGTGAATTTCAATTAATTTAAGATCCAACAGTAACCATTATTTTGATAATTACGATAAATTAATAAGAAAACAATTATGCTTATGGATTATAACCAAGCAGAAAATTCTAACCAGCAAGATGAAGAAAGAGAAGACAACTTACACAAGAATTTCTTCTTTCTGCTCGTCCACCTCTATGTCTACCCAATCGTCGCTTGTGTCACTTCTCGAAGCTCCGCTAACCACCGCTCCAGATCCTGGAAAACATGAATAAAGTTAATAACTCGTCGGGCGCAACGAACCATCTCCGGATGACAACTATGACGGAACGGAGAGAAAGAAGCTGTAATTGAATTGTAACGTTTGAAACGGCAGGAAAACAAAAGCGAGGATTTACCGACCAGAGGTAACCTATGCAACTTCAATCACGTTTTGGATGATTAATCATGAACCTACGAAAAAAAAGCGTGGTTTTCATGGCTGGCGATCACCTCGTTCAACTCACAAACCAAAAAGCTTTACTAAAAGCTTAAAATTATCACAATGTGACTTTTGCTGGGTATATAACATTTGCCTTTACCTATTATTGTTCAAGACAATGTTATTGTATATTTCTTTTAATGATTGTTATTTTACCATAAACTACTATAGTTTCATTAGTTTATGCTTGCTTGGTTGCTGTTTGTTTTTAACATTAGAAGGAACATTTTTCAAAACATCTTTTAGTCCTTTTTTTCCAGAAACTATTTTGAATTTTTATAATTTGTAACTGTCTTATTAGAAGTGAATCTGTTAAATTCTATTTTTTGCATATGTGACATACGCATAAATACAAAAAGAAAGATATACTTCAAAATTTCTGATTATGCTGAATTTGCAGGCTTCGAAATGCCAGGGCTGTTTTTTATTGTTCGAATGAAATCAAAAATTCAATTTAGTGACAATGTTTTGAACAAAATCGATCGTTTTTATCGTTAATACTCGGCAAAAAAATAAGATTTTCTGAACCTTTATACAGAATGTTTTTAATTTATAAAAAAATCCTACAAATAGACATTTTTGTTATTATAAATCACCTATATAAATTATTATTTATTACCCACAAAGAAATTATGTACTGTATGTTTAAAATATCGATACATAAACATTACATTTATATGTTTTGTAAATGAATAAATAGAATTTATAAACTGACGAACATAGTACTTCTGTTAACGTAAATTCTTCATAAAACATTATATTTCTAAAATATATAACATAATGTCTGTAAAAATATTTAAGCAAGCACAGTATATTTGTAGTATATTTTATATATTCGTATATGCATATATTAATAATTAGGAGATATATTTTTATATATTTGATTTTTGCATTATTTACATGGGTCGATTTCAAGTTTATTTGACGCTCACACACACACACACACACACACACACACACACACACACACACACACACACACACACACACACACACACACACACACACACANCACACACACACGCACACACACACACACACACACACACACACGTAGGTCAAACGACTACCTAGCAAAAGCAAAGCTATAATAGAGCAAAGCCAACGAATAGCTCTTATAAGAACCACAAAAGGGTACAGGACGATTTCAACACATGCCCTACAAGTAATAGCCAACGCACCGCCCTAGTCCTTAAAGAAAGGGTGGTCATCCACCAAAAAAAGAAAAATGAGGCTATTGATATAGGAGCAAGCCAAGGAGAAATAGACTGGTTCCGGAGCACAACGGGGAAGGAGGCAAAAGAGTACTTGGGAAAAATGACAAGGGCATCATGGCAAGAAAGATGGACAAATAGCAATAAAGGTCGGCTAACATCCAAATTTTTCCCAAGCGTTGAAACAAGACAAAAAGCAAAAACCCCGACTACTGGACGACCCAAATGCTATCAGGACATGGAATCTTCGCAAGCTATCTTCATAAATATAAGAAAAGAGAAAGCCCTTTATGCTTCGTTTGCAGCACTGAAGAAGACGCCGAACATAAACTCAAATTCAAGGCAGAAAGAGAACGTTTGCGAAAGACCATCACCTCAGCAGAATGGCCGCCTAATCTCCAAAAGCTAGTCTGTGATATCAAATCTTTTGGAGCATAAAAGACAGCCTCAAATACGCTTAAATGAACAAGTCCCTATTTATTCTAATTATTCTAATTATTAAGTCCTAAATATTGTTATTATTGTTAGAGTTTATTACCGTTATTTATTTATTGCAAAATTAAACATAGGTTTAGGTTTAGGGTTCCGGGCTGTTTTCCTCTTCTTAGTAAGAAAATTTTAGTTAATATAAAGAGATAGAAAATAAAACCAAGGAAAAGTAAATGTGCAGGGGGAAACTAGCAAGGGAAGAATTTTTGTTTTAGGTTCTAAAATGAAAATATGGTCCCTTCAAAGACCGACCAGCGGTCTCGCCTGAAGGAAAGATCGTTGGGCGGTATTTTTATCCCATTTATTTGAAATCCCTTAGATATACAAATTCGATTAAGCTAAAGCGTTTGTCCACCGGTATGGGGTCTTCCTCAGGTACGGCGGGGTGGTGGAAAGGGTAAAAACACACACACACACACACACAATTGAGAATTTTTGTCAATAATTGCCCATTGAGCAAATTGAAAAAACAATTTGAAAAATTTCAGTATTAATAAATATTTACCAAATTATTATCAAAAATTAATAACTTTACATTGCTAAAAGGAAAATCACAATAAAAAGTTCTTGTAAATTTCAACAATATAAGTTTTTAATATATGCCATGTAGCATTTATGGATTTTTTAAATTTTTTTGAAGCAATCGCTATTAATGCAAATTCTAGTAAGCTACGGCAATAATCTTCTCTTTTTTTATTATCATTATTTTTATCTATTTTTTGTTTTGTGTATATTGTAGGCCAAACATAAGAAGGTGTAGAGTTGTCGATACTGTTTGTATACAATATAATATAAGTACTATTTTTGGTTGCAACACATGCTTGCGCTAAGTTTAAATTATTTTTGTAATTTTATGTTTTAACTTAACCCACTCTATTCCACAGCCGGATACAACAAAAAACTCACTTTTATTAAAATTAGTCTTTATTTTTTAAACAAGTATCGATTTTGGGTTGCTGCTTGCTTCCTCTTTTCAGCTGTTATGACCTAAAAGTCCAGTTTCATGGAACGTTGGCAGCACCACGAAATCAATACTTGTTTAAAAAATACTATAAAAATGTGTTTTTGGTTGTCTCGCTATCTGGAAAAGAGTGGGTCAAGTTAAAAAATTAATTTTAATAACATCCTATAGAATCGAATAAGAAAAACAATATTATCAAGATAAGTTAATAATAGTTTTTGTAATTTCAGACCACATAAGCAATTATTCTTTGCTATGAACTAGTAAATAGATTAAACGTTAAAAAAATAATACAGTAGGAATTTTGTTAATACTGCAATCAGAAAACAGAATTTGCAAGAAATACTTTTAAGGAATCATGACTTCAGCAGTCTGGCATCAGGTTGAACTTCATAAAACTCTTCTAAAAAACTAAGCAGGTTTTCTTGTTCTTGCTAAAAAGTACAATGCTACAAGTATGTCTTGCCTTCGGTTTACACTTATTTCAGTCTGCTGCTTACTTTAACACTGATGAAAAAGTAAAACCAGATCTGAAAATTTTTCTTGAATGATGAGGCAGGAAAGAAGTTTGTTTTAATTTTTGTTTTTAAAGGCGATTAACCACTAGGGTCATGTCATCCTTGATTAGATAATATTTGTAATGAAAATTAAATTTTATTAGTTAGGCTATTAACTCGTAGAATTGAATTAGTTTGTCAATGTTCTCTTTTTGATTTCCTAATATTTGATTTATTGAATTTGATATATTTAAAGTTCTTTTGCTGTTATTATAGCTAGAGCAGTCTATTAGTAAGTGTTTTACAGTTAGAATTTCTTTCTCAGTTTGGACACTTGGGTGATTGGTTTCGTGACACCGAATAACCATGAGTAAGGCGGGCATGGCCAATTCTTAGTCTTGTTAACACCGTTTCTTTAAATTTAGATTGTCTAATTGATGATTTCCAAGGACTATCACTACTTTTTATTTCGTTTAGCTTATTGTCCGTTACTTGTTCTACACTTCTTGCCAGGTTAACCAAATTTTTGTTTTAATAACGCTTTCATCTTCATGTGGCACTGTTTTATTAGTAAACCACTCTAAAGAAGAAAGAAAAGAAGTGATTAAGATTTTGAAGAATTGCACTTTTAGATAAATTGTTCAAATAAATAGCAAGACATGCAAATAATTTGTTTCAACCTACTATGTAGGTGTAATTTACCCAGTATTGTAGTATCTAGTCATAGGTTCTTTTTAACTATTTGAATCTGCTGAAACTATTACTGAACAAGCTCGAATTTTCGTTTACAAAGAAGAGAACATTCAGGGGATAATTGTTCGAATGAATATTCAGGAGTTGATTGATCGAGTTAAAGATGCTGGCCGAGGATTTTTCGCCTACACAACGCCCCGCGTTCGGGTCAACACTCTGTATAAAATCTTCACGTAGGTGTTCGTGCAAAAAAAACCGCCTGTTTTTCTCCGTTCCGTCATTGTTTTAGAAACAGAAGCCGAATTACCAGAAGAGGCCCGTGAAGAAGGTCTGACTTCGTAGAGGCTGTTGCTCTGCTCGTAGCTGCTGTCGGACTCAGAACGACCGGCGTCGTAAATCGACTCGTAAATCCCTTCGCACTGGCCGTTCTGACCTGACTCGTTGACGTTGAGCACGTCGTCGTAAATAGCGTCCACCTCCGGTGCCGCGTAATGAATCACATCGTAACAGTTCTCAACCTAAAATAAAAGATTCATTAGTCAAAAATCAATCGGGTTAAGTTGTTTAAACTATACCTCTTCGTACGATTTGGTACTGATGACCTCGTAGGTGGATTCCGTCGAAGCCTGAAGGTGTACGTAGGAGTGGTTTTCTTGCTGAATTGTCGCCTCTTTGGCAAGCCGTCTGTAGAGCGAGGAGACGTTGGCTTTCGGCTCAGGGGTAATTTTCCCATATCCAAGGTTAACGTTGTTTTTCGCTTTTTCCGAATTTTCCGTCTCACTTTTTTCGTCGCATCCGATCACTTCAGGGGCTGGAAGCTGCACCTCTTTTTCCAATGTCTTCGCTTCCTTTTCTTCGCTGAATTCAGAGACAGGAGACAGCTTCGAAGTTACCTCATCTTTGGCTTCTGTAAAAGTGAACATTACTAAATTATTATTAAAACGAATAATAAAAATTTTTTACAAATAATTAAGGTTTTTAGTTGAGATGAAAAAAAGTTAATGGCACGAGCGGGATTCGAACCAACGATCTTCGGCTAGATACGCCGCTGCTCTACCACCTTAGCTATTGTGACCTCGATCCACTCGGACACCAACTTCCCATCTCAACCCCACCTTTTGAATTTTCCCTCCTTTTTGCGTCGTATCAAGCCGAAGATCGTGGGTTCGAATCCCGCTCGTGCCGTTGACTTTTTTATCTCAACAAAAAACCGTAATTAATTGAAATATTGCTCAGTCACTCGGACATCAACTCCCCATCTCAACCCCACCTTATGAGTTTTCCCTCCTTTTGCCATTTTTCAACTTTTTTTCATCTCAACTAAAAACCTTAATTAATTGTAAAGTATTAATTGGTCAAGCGGACCACGAAATTAGTGAATTTAATAAAAAAATTCTTGATCAGTAAAGTAGAAAAAGTTCAACTCACCTTGTCCTTTATTGTCTTTGGCGCCCCACAAAAATGAGGAGTTGGGTTTGACCTCAGATTCGGTTTCTTTAAAAACCGAGTAGAGGATGTCATTTTTGGGTATGCTGAGCCTTTTGTTATTCTTGACTAGCTCTTGAGTTTTGATTTTGGCTGGCTGTCTCGTCACCAAATGGCACTTGTCGATTTCCGGTTTCGGTTTGACCTGTGGTTTCGCGTCCTTAACAATATCAGTCTCTTCTTTAACAACGTTGAGTTTAGCAGGCTTTGAATGCGAGTTCTTCCTCACGAGGACCATTTTCGGCTTGTCCGACGCCTTTTCGAACATATGCACCGCTTCCCTGACGCTCTGGCCGGACGGCTTGTACGCGTGCAGCTTCTTCAATATGGCCCTCCCTTTGCTTTCATCCTCGACGATGATCGCGTTGAATTTCGAAGCGATCTCTTGGACGGAATTGGCAGGCAGAGATACCTTCGTGGCCCTGCAGGTCCTTGAGTTCGAAGTACGTCCACCACGGGTCTTGAAACTCAGCTTCCTTCCCCCGGCGTTTCTTCTCCCTTCTTCGGGCGACATCGGCGCCGCCTTATCCCCGTCGATGATCCTGGCCATCCTCATCGACCGATGTCCTCCGTCTTGGCATCTTCAGAAAATCACTTCCACCTGAAATAGAACGAGCGGGGAATTAGTTTCAGATTCTTAATGATGCGGATTCCCGCTTTTCACGCTTTGAGGATATTTAGAGAAATGTTAATGCCCGTTACACATATTAGACATGCATTCAGGAAGCGTAGAGAGAAGAACAATGCCTCTGGGGAAAGCAAACCTCCTTGCGAATTCTTTTCCCGATATTCGGACCTACTACCTTCCTTATTCTTATGAAATGCCGGACTGCAGCTTAAAAATTTAAACTTTAACGGTACTAGCTTATATTGTAGACTTTAAATTTTTATTCGCACAATATGTATGTATTTATTTTACACAACGTCGTACTTTTTTTCAAAAAGATTGTTTAAAGAAATTAAACTGTAATGCTACAAAGATTCTTAACTCTCCCTAACTCATAATTAGACAGACATGGAGGCAAAAATAAAACTTTATAAATCGACGTAATAACAGTGGAATTTAATAGCATACAGCTTTAATATTTTTAAAATTAATTACTATCATATACTGTTCATATAGTGCGGTTTTTGTTATTAATCATTTATGTACAGGAGACAAACTAATTAATAAATAGAAGTGTAAATATTGCTTTTGATATTTTACATATATTTTCCTATTGTAGATCAATATGACCTAAATCTGTGAGTTTCAAATCAAATCAAATCTCTCTCTCTCTCTCTCTCTCTCTCTCTCACACACACACACACTACATACACATACCTACTCTTTACATTGCTTAAAGGAAAATCACAATAAAAAGTTCTCATAAGAAATTAATTAAGGTTTTTTAGTTGAGATAAAAAAGTCAATGGCATGAGCGGGATTCGAACCCACGATCTTCGGTTTGATAGGCCGCTGCTCTTCCACTTGAGCTATCGTGGCTTCGATCCATTCGGACACTAACTTCCCTTCTCAATCCCATCTTTTGAATTTTCCCTCCTTTTTGCCATTTTTCAAATGTCGTGTAACCAATTTGATTCTCGGCGACAAATGAAATGGCCACAGAAAGCTTTAGTGAAGATATACTTCATTTTAACCTATTAAATTCACTAGTTTTCGTGGTCCGCTTGACCAATTAATATCTCTCAATTAATTAACATTTTTAGTTGAGATAAAAGTTAGTGATCTAACTAAAAGTTATCAAAGTTAAATTTACTCCCTGAAGAATGGCAAAAAGGAGGGAAAATTCAAAACGTGGGGTTGAGATGGGAAGTTGGTGCTCGAGTGGATCGAAGTCACGATAGCTCAAGTGGTAGAGCAGCGGCGTATCTAGCCGAAGGTCGAGGGTTCGAATCCCGCTCGTGACGCTCCCTTTTTTCTCTCAACTAAAAACCTTAATTAATTGAAATATATTGATTGGTCAAGCGAACCACAAAAACTAGTGAATTCAATAATAACTTCAAGCCGAAATATTTCTGTACTCATCCACTTTTCTCGATTTATCTTTTTATCCACATTAAAACTGTATGAAGTGATATTAGTAGAAAAATAAGATAAGACAAGCTCAAAGAAGAAATAAATAAATGACACTTGATATGCAAAGAGTAACGATTAAACAATTAACGTAAAAATTGCGTTAGTTATTACGACATACACAAACATATATTCCAATAATTCTTTTCTCTATATACGAGAACTAGTAACTGGGCTAAAAAGATGTCAACAACCGAGATAAACAAGTGACAAGAAAACAAATCGTCTTGATGCCACGAGTAAAACGTACAAAAATCTATTTTATTTGAATTATTAACCAATAAAAAAGTTTTGCTGGTATAATACCTCCCCCCCAACACAGACAGTAAGTATTGCCGAAGGTAAAAAATAATTGCTATTGTTCGTGGGACGTTCTTTAAGGTCGGGCAGTTTCGAGTCCGTGGGTATTCCACTAGATAGAAGCATCTATTTATTTAGATAAAACCGCAACTGTTGTAAAAACGTTCAACGGCAGTTATTTCCTGTTGTGTAAGCCGTAATTACATTTTTATATCGCAAGTGGGCAAATACTGACCGATATATCACATTTCACAATCAAAAACGTTCAGATCGTATTGTTGTTTGCGCGTTAAATGCCTCTGGGATATTATTTATAACGTTATATTGCTTAACTTAGTTAACAAATATAAATTTATAATTGTACGACTCAAGTGTATGTAAATTCTAGGATGAGAAATGTTGGTATTTAAACCCAGGAAAACAGGAGACCCTAAGGACCCTAAAATTACGTCCGTACACTTTTCGTAAACAATAAACATTAATGTGGGGGCTGAAATGGCCTAGCTGTCGACAGCCCCTGTTGGAGCCTAACTCCGTTGATTTGGAAACGACGATCTCCTGGGTATCTGGCTTAGGGGAGATAATATCGACCCAGCCACATAACGGGGTGGTGAACACCCCTGAGGTATCGACCCGACGATCTGGTTCGACAACTCTTCGGGGTGAATGTCCAGAGTAATAATAATAAACATTAATTTTTCGAAAAGACTGCAATTTTTTGATTTCGAAGGTCCTTTAAACAAATGCCATTGATTACAAAAGAGTTTGGTATGATAAAACGACGTCGAGGATATTAGGGTTATAAGCAGGTCGAGGCAGCCGTCACCGTATTGTATGTCAGCGAACCGTCTCTCTCATTCTCTCTCTCTCTCTCTCTCTCTCTCTCTCTCTCTATCTATCTATCTATCTCTATCTATCTATCTGCCTGTCTATCTAACTCTTCTTTTTTCTCTTAACTATTCATATAACTTTCTCTATGTGTGAATACACTAATAATATTTTTGTTCTTTTCTCTACTTGTAATTATTCATCTCACCATCTTTTTTATCACTCTCTCTCTCTCTCTCTCTCTCTCTATTGTTATTTTATTAACTATTAAGATATTCATCTTTCTATACGTGTGAATATTTTACTTTGTGATGGCGGATCTTATACAATAAAAAAAACTAAATGTGACATACGCTAAATAATATATTTAAAAAAAAAAGCCTCTTCTTGGCGTAAAACAAACAAAAAATTAACAATATTGGAGAAATACTTTTTCTAGCAATCTTTTAGTAATCTTTTAACAGGCAATGTTTAGAGGTAAAAAGCTTTAAACAAAATACAAAAATAACCGAAATGAATCGCAAAGATATAAGTACCTTGAATTTTTTAATATGGCACAAAACTGTAAATTATAGACGTCTTTCTGCCAGCGCACTCCTTTTTGGATAGCCGCTTATCTCCTCCTTTTCCAATGTGTTTGTGGTGATCGTCCCCTCTCTTCCACAGTGCAGATTCCTTTTCCGAACGATCATCACAACTTTATTTTATGTTTTCCTCCATATTTTAAGTATTCATATCACCATCTCTCTCTCTTTCTCTATCGCTTTTTTCTTAACTATTAATATGCATCTTATTCATACATCTTTCTATATGTGTGAATACAATGCTTTATTGTTTTGTTCTCTTCCTATATTTTAACTATTGATATCAACTTATCTCTGTCCGTCGTCAGGAACTTATCTCTGTCTCTGTCTGTATGTCAGCGAACCATATCTCTCTTTCTCTCTCTCTCTCTCTCTGTCTCTCTCTTTCTTTCTCTCTCTCTATTTATATCTATCTACCTATTCGTTTTTCTCTTAATTATTCGTACATTTTTCAATATGTGTTATGCACTAATATTATTTTTGTTATTTTCTTTAATTTTAATTATGTATTCATTTAATTATTCTTCTCTCTCTCTCTCTCTCTCTTTTTCTCTCCCTCTATCGTTCTTTTTATTAGCTATTAATATACATCTATTCATCTTTCTATACGTGTGAATATTTTACTTTATTTTTTGTTTTCCTCCATATTTTAACTATTCATATCACCATCTCTCTCTATTTATATCTATCTATCTACCTATTCATTTTTTTCTTAACTATTCGTATATTTTTCAATATGTGTTATGCATTAATATTGTTTTTGTTCTTTTCTTTAATTTTAATTATGTATTCATCTAACCATTTCATCTCTCTCTCTCTCTCTCTCTCTCTCTCTCTCTCTCTCTCTCTCTGTCTCTCTCTTTCTTTCTCTCTCTATTTATATCTATCTACCTATTCGTTTTTCTCTTAACTATTCGTACATTTTTCAATATGTGTTATGCACTAATATTATTTTTGTTCTTTTCTTTAATTTTAATTATGTATTCATCTAACCATTTCTTCTCTCTCTCGCTCTCTGTCTCCCTCTTTCTTTCTCTCGGTCTCTCTCTCATCATTATTATTCATTTTATTCTTTTAGTTAGTTCCATGTAAGAGAGAAGTAACGCAAGGCTGAAACCAAAATCTTCCTTTATCCATATGATACAAGCATGTATAGAAAACCCGATCTAAATTCGAAACATATACAAGGATATATTTTATAGAATAGAGTGGGTATTATGATTTGAAATGATGAAATTTCATTATGATGTTGGCAGAATCGTGGGTCAAGAAAAGAGAATGTATGATTTTTTTGTAAAAGTATGCTATTTTGTATAAGAGAGCTATTGCTATAGGTTTATTTCTACAGTAATACTAGTTTTTGTGAAAAAACGTTTCATATAAATGCTTGAGGGAACATTATAAATAGCAACTGAGGCAAATTTGCGCTGAATTCCAGATATGTGTTTATATATTATTATCAAAAGATACATTTTTTGATGGAAGATTTATGAATTTTCTTTCTTGAAATTAGAAAAACCCACTTTTTTCTGTGCAAATTTATTTTTCTTCCTCGTGGTTATGACCGAAGCTCTCGTCGGGAAGAACCGTTTTAGCCTTTTGACGACTGGTATTTTTCTAAAAGCGATTCCTCGGAATTGTTTAGCGATAGATTATAGCCGTCGTGTCCTTGTCGTCAGAATGGGGCAATCTACCAAGTCGAAAACACTCCCAGGTTCATCGTCCCGACGAACGGTTTTAAAAAACGTCCGAACCTTTTGTAAGAGCAGACTGAAAAGCGGTGAATAATTCAAAATTGCTTTCCTTTGTCGT